CGTCGTAGTTTATGACTTTTTAAATCGAAAGAAATGAGGGGAGAATTCTATTGTTGAGATTTCTTATCAGTGTCACACAAACAGCCGTGAGGAGATTTATCAGCACCACAGAGGAAGAATCCTCCCTGCAGTAAATTAACCGTGTCTTACTTAGCAGAGAAAATACCATCCATTTCCCAGAGCACTTGCTGACTGTTTGTTGAACACCACCCACTGGTGAGGAGTTAACAGTTGACATGTTCACTCACGAGACGCGGCCTGTAGTAATTAGGATTTGGAAATACTGGGTTTAGTCCTGTCATCTCTGGAGCCAGAGATGTTGAAGTAATTTGGGGTCACATGTGGTTTAGGCTGTAGAACAACATCGTTTGTCATGGACGATTCTGTCAGGCCTGCCGTCTTCACCGGTCGTCCTGTCACACTCTCTGAATCCTTTGATTTTTTTTTTTTCATAGAGCCGTCAATTAGTTTTGATTCAGGCGACAGCGGCGGCTTCGATGACGGACTGAGGAGGAGGAACGTTCCCTTCTATGACGCACACAGACCCAGGACTTCAGATGAGGAGGAAGAGGAAGAGGAAGTGGAGTTCAAGTTAGAAAAGAAGGAGGAAAAGCCCTGGTTCTCCCTCAACAAATGCATTGTGGGAGCTGTGGTGCTTCTCTTTTTAGGTTCCCTCTTCCTCTCAGGTGAGTTCCCCTCCATTCCAACAGATCTGAGCAGGGTTCTGCTTTAATGATCACATGTTAGTTGGACCTTTAGCCACAGGCTACAATCGTCTTGACTTTCGGAAGTGGAGAATGTACAAAAACCTGTGTTGGTGTGTTTGTTCCTGCACCTGAAGCACAGTGTGTGTGTGTGTTCTTGGATGTTGTTGACCGAGGCCGAGCTGTGTCAACAGGTTTCCTCTCTGACCTGGATTATGATAGGTCCGGCACTAGATGAGACGGCAGTGGCGGCGTCTGCAGCAGCTGGCTAATACTCAGCTGCCTGTCCAAACACTGCTCTGACCCAACACCAACACACAGTGGTTTTAAATACACCTCACCACAAACGTCCATGTTGATGTCAGACCTGGCGGACGCCGCTGTACTGTATGTGTAATTAAGGTGTGTCGTAAGACGTGTGTTAAAGACATGTTTCCCTGTCTGACAGGTGACTTTGACGCCTCTGAAGTGAGTGACGGTGAACAGAGCCAGGTCTGTGTCTTATAAGATTCTTATTTGACCCATTTAAGTTGATTGCCAACGTTGTTAGGTTCATGTTATTAATAAAGACATGCTACTTAATTATCAAGTAGAATTTATCGCTAAGTATTTGTTTTATTAATTTCCCCTTTTTCCTTGTGGTTTTGATCCAGGACTGGCCCAGCGGTGATCCGCAGGAAATGAAAGAGTTATTGGATAAACTGACCCAGGAAAACCAACACATTGCTCTGTTGGAGGCTCAACTAAAGGTCAGGATTCATTCATATTTGATGCAAATAATTTCCATTTGTTCCTCTATATTTTTCCGTCGCTATTTCCAGACATTTGTTTAAATGTTTTCATTATCTTCAACTCTTAGTCCCAGAAAGAGGAACTGACCTCAGCACTTCAGGCCGTGGCTGAAAGCGGTGACCAAAAGAGAAAAGCAGATCTGGAAAAGGAAAATGCAAGATTGAAAGAGGAGCTGTCATCTCTGCCCGAACTGAGGAGGGAGCTGGAGAGTCTGAGGGCAAGAGTGACAGAAGTCAACCAGCTCACAGGTGACGAGGCCTTTTGATCTGGTGGTGTAATATTTATGGAGTGCTGTGGAACAGGAAGTAGAAGTCATCCTCTCCCTGCAGACATGATTTAATATCTGCTGCTAACTTCAAATATTTTGTTCCTTTTACAGCTGATCAAACAGTACCGCAGGCTACTCCAGGTTCATTACCGCAGCCAGCAGACGAGGAAGTTGAGAGCAGCCAAAAAGCTGCTGCACCTGAGAGGAGCCAGGAGACGAGTGAAGGAGCCAAGGTGAAGGACGGACTTCAGAGGCAGAAGCTTCTGTTGGAGGAGAGCAGGAAGAGGCTGGAGGGGATGAAACACGGGGGAGGCAGCAGGAGGGACGTGCGGGAGAGCCTAGAGGTGATTCAGCAGAAGCTTTCTGACAGAGTTGAAAGGTGGGAGAAGAAGAAGCCGCAGGATTTCAAATGGAAAGGCAACAAAGAGCCCGGCAAAGAGAAGGAACATTGGAAAAAGGAAGGGAAGAAGGAGTGGAAGGGAGAGAAGGAGTGGAAACACAACAAAGATGGAGGACGGAAGGACAAAGGTGAGAAGAAAGACAAAGAATGGAAGCACGGTAAAGATGGAGAACGGAAGGACAAAGAGGAGAAGAAGGAGAAGGTGTGGAAACATGGTGAAAAGGGAGGCTGGAAGGACAAGGAGGAGAAGAAGGAGAAGGAGTGGAAACCTCAGAAGCACAACTCCCACAAAGAAGCCTGGAGGAAACACCAGGATGAGTGGGAGAAAAGGAAGGATGAGCGCAGAATGGACAGGGAGGAGAGGAGGAAGGAGAAACCCTGGCACACTCAGTCTGAGAAAGACCACCACCACAGTCACCACCACCACAGTCCCCACCCGCAGCACCACCGCCACCAGCCTCGCCAGACTCCTCAGCCACACCACAATGATTTCTGGAGAGACCAGGAACAGAAGCTCAGGCGGAACCTCCGCCCTCAGCTGGGCTGCAGCTCCGTAGAGGACTGCGCCGGCAAGGAAGGGCTGTATGCGGTGGAGCTGTCGGAGTTCGAGGAACTCCTGGAGGGCTACCTGAGCAAGCTGGAGGGCTCCTCGTCCGAGAGCAAGGACAAGATTCGAAAGCTGACTGCAGGGTTTTTCGAGGAGGGAGTGTTTGTCCACGACAGAGTTCTGTTCAGCGACTTTGCAGAGGACATTGCAGACATTCTGGAGGACATGGTGGATGTTTTGGAGGACAATGATTCCTTGGAGGAGGAGATGGAGGAGTTTGAACGTGAAGCCCTCTGGAAGTTCGCCGCCACAGCTTAAATACAGACAGCCGTAGAGAGAGCAGGGCATTTCAACACTAAGACCCAGTGAAGGACCAGTGGTGGCTCCTCCCACTCCCCCCCCCCCCCCCCCTCCTAACAGCTGTAATTGTAGTCGTTTCTGGTACACGGTGGTTGTGCCTGTCATAAATGTGGTCCTCCGACTCTTTAATTATCAGCTTGTACCCCTCGTCCTGGACGTAGTGGTTGTTAGCTTCCTCCGTCAGGTCGGCCTCCTAAAGTCCTTCAGTAACGTGTTTGTGTGGATTTCCTTCTGCTTCATTATAGTGTTCAGTACCTGATGCATGTCGCAGTTCATGATGAGAAGTCAGTAGTTGAGAGGAAGGTAATTGCAAATGGTTTAGTCGATTCGTTGGATTCCATCTATATAACCTGTGGTGTTTGTTGTACATAAGATCCAGGAAATAGAACGATTGGTTGGTAAATATATTTTTACTGAATATTTAAAATTACAGGTGAGGTATGCAGGCATTTTGAATAAGTAGTTGTTTTTTTTTTGCCCTGCGGAGGGCGCTATATGGGTTGTTTGAAGTCTCTGTTAATATTTGGGACTGGGTTGTTGTTGCCAGTTAATCCAACTGTGTCAATTAGTTCAAACTTTTTTCCACAAGAACAAGTCAAACATGTAGCTTTAAAACTAGCTCCTGCACAACGGACATTAATCACAACTGGACAGGACAAGATGGCGTCCTGTTGGATATTAAAGCACGACCTCCCTTTGTCTTGTAAACCTACTGCTTAAAATTCTATTTTTAGCTAGCTGAAGGGGTCAATGCTACAGGAGCTGGGTTGATATAAGACGCTAAACCAAAATTGTCAAGAACTCTTAACACTTGTCCACACACCTGTTCTCTCTGAATGACTGCATCTGACCTTCTGTGCCAAACCACGGTGTGGAGCAGTTGTAATGGCGACGCCTCCTGAGGAGCTGACAGTCTGCAGCAGCCCAGGCCTCAGTTGACTTCTTTTCTAGTTGAGAAATTCCTGCATACTCTACCTTTTGCTGTTACCTCTTATCTTATCTGACAACACAAACGGCGTCTCCTCCAAACAGGTTAACACAAAGGCTGGTGGTGTTTTTGCATGTGCTGGTTGCCTCAGGTTGGGTGTAGCAGTTTGATCCCAGAGGATTGAGATCCCGCTTCTTTCACTGATTAAAACGGGAGCGAGTCAGACCTGTTCTGTAGCTGCAGCTCTCCGGGCACAGAGCGTCGACTCAGCAGACTCAGGCTCGACTCCAAACTGCCGTTGACACAAATGGGTGGGAAACCTGCATTTAGATTTTGAAACTGCTTAAAAAAAAGAAGCTTAACAGCAATAGGACAGTGTTTTATTTATTTACAGCCGTATTGATGACTGCTAAACTACGTTAGCACTTTGCTCAAGCATTCACATTTCTGCAATGTTCATTTAGTTTCTTGTTTATCTTACTGTGTGATGTAGCCTCGAGAACGTCCAACACATGTCAACTCCTGGAATTTATGGATTTGTTAGAAAATCTAAATTCTGTATTTATTTTACTTTGTATTGGTAGAAATGAATAGAAAAACTGTGGACCGATGGAAAGCTGCTACATTTGACCGTTTCTCAGTTCAACAAGTGATTTACCAGAATTAAGAAGTGAGAAAAACTTTTCTTTCAGGCTGGAGCTGGAAGGTGTGGCTGAACAGTCAGTACCAGTAGAAACCCACCTGGTGCAGGTGGTGCTACTGTGTATGATGTAGCGTAGTACTTGACAGGAAATGTGCTAGATTTTTTTTGTCTTAACGTTTTGACCAAGACATGCATAACATTTGTGCTGCAGGATTTGACAAACCTGGTATTAACGTTATAATCCAGTTGCTTGACCTCGTAAAACTATCCCTGCGAGCCAAATTTGGGTAGGTGTCCACCATTTGAGGAACAATGATTAAAGGTCAGAAAGACAGGCAAGGAAAAAAAGCTGAGGAACAGCACAGATACATTTCTTCTTTAGTAAAATATAAGAGTTTATTTTTGTTTCATTTGTTTTCTGGGGGGTTTTTTGTTGTTTTTTTTTCCTCGTTCGGTGGAAGTGAATCTCAAATCGACAGTTTGTGATTGTTCTTTTATCAGTAGTTGAAGCTTTGAAGTGTTTTATTTACACTGTTGAAAACGCTGCATCTCTTTACTTCTTTACGTATTCCCAAGTGGGGGGTGGCAGACTTGGATCTGGACCATGACAGTGAAGACGTGGAGATGTGCATGTTTTGGTCAGGAGTCATTTCTACTTTTCCAGCTAAAGCATACGTGCCTTTATTCTTCCAAGTATCTTTGCTTTTGCAAGGTTAAAAAGTCTAAAAACTCTATTTGAGTGTAACTGTCTCCACAGCAGAGAACGAATGTCAAAGGGTTTACATGTGACGTGATGATGTCATCATGAACGGGTACAGAAACATTTATGTTCATGTTTAAACCAAAGGGATCAAATGAAGGTTTTGCCAAAATGGAAAAAAAAAAAATCCTGAAACGCATTTTTCAAACAAAGTGAAATGGAGATATTTGAGGTGTGATGTTTGTCTCTGCAGGACGACTTCCTGTGCTTCCTGAGAGTCTGTGTCAGACACGTGCATGTCGTTGGTGTCATGATGAATTTGGATCTTTTCTAGTTTTGTTTTCCTCTCCATCACTTTGTCTTCTGTTAGAAAGTCAGTGTTAAGTTTAATAAAGATTTTTCACCGTCACACAAGTGGTGTCTTTATGCAGATGCATGTGTCTGAAGGTGTGTCCAAGGTCTGGGCCGAGGGCCAGATGGTTTCACGTTACCTTTTATAGATCACCTTTCTCTGTCTCTAAATTTACTTGTAGCTTTTTGGTAGCTATAAATGCTAACTGTTTTTACTGTAACTGAAAAAATAAATATATATATATATTCCTTTTGTTTTCCAGCCCTCTGCTGTGTTACATGTGTGCACAGTAAGAACTGAGATTCTTAGAATCTGGCTGCCTTAGACTGATTTGATATACGGGAGGAGCACTTGGCCCTCTGGACATTTTTCCATTACATGTAATGTCGTCAAATCCTCTTTAAAGAAGTTTGGATGTGATGTAAACCGTCTGTCTGTCTGTTTACAATCAAAATGTTTTGTGTTCGTCTCTTAATCGTCGTTCAGCCTCAAACAACTGGACTTGTTGTTAGCAACTGTAAACAACGGCTGAGAAACGCTGATGGGTGTCATTGAGGAGGAATAAGGAAGGACTGACTCTGTGACTGGGTAACAGCAGCGTCAGTGGATGAAAGGAAGTCCAGTATGACAGGTATTCATTATCTCAGCTTTGATCGCTCACTGAAATATTTACATCCAGATTAAATGCTGCGAGCACCTTCGCAGACGTGAACAAACTTCCGGCCCGTGGCACTACCTGACGGATGGCATGTGTAGCTGTAGGTCATTGACCCGAGATTTGGATGAATAGGAATGTAAGCAGAGAACAAGTCCGTCTCTATGAAGCTGCACAGAGTTCCTGTCATTCTTTGACATCTGCAAACAAGTCGCCACACAAGCACGTCCGCATGTTTTTGTACTTTTCAACTTGGCTTTTTTTTTTTTTTTTGAGCAGGTTTCTGCTGGAAGGCTGCAGTCTCAGGGTCAACACTGGACAGAAAAAAAAGGAAAGTGAACAAAAATAAACCGCTCAGTGACCATGGATTGACACAGGGACACAACAGAACATTCAGGAACTTCTGTTGTGTTGATAATAAGTGATAATAATAAGTAGCGTCTGACCGGAGAATAGTTGCAGAAACTTTAATTTAATTTCCCTAAAATAATCCAGTGGTTGAGCGTCCTCCGTCCAGTTAGCTGTGACCTTGGACCCTAAGGTCACAGCTAACTTTAACGACCATCACATGACAACAACCGTTCAAATCATGTTTTGTATAAACTGATTAGTGCTGAGCTCGGCGTGATCCAGTGGCCTGATTAGAGCGGCCTGACGACCACGCCGTCCTCCGCCAATGCTTTTCTGTGCGGACTGACTTTGAGTCATCGTGATGTGGGAGACGAGGGCATGCTGGGAGTTTTCCGCTGATGTTTGCATCAGTGCGTGGACATGAAGAGTATAAATGAGGACAGGAGATGTCCCAGCGTAGGAACAAGTTCTCGGTACCTGCTCCACACCACCACGCCACAGGTGAGTCTGCAGCTGCTTCCTGTCTTTACTTATGTTCTAAGTGCTGGTTGTTGACGACTTTTTCCTCCTCGTTTGAACTCAAGGATCTCATCATGGAAGCTGCCATCACTACTCTGGTCTCCCAGTTCAAGGTCTTTGCTGGGAAAGATGGTTCTACCAGCACTCTGAGCAAAGACGAGTTCCAGAACCTGCTGACCTCTCAGTTACCCAGCTACGCCAAGGTACTGGACTGGACTGTAGGAACGGAAACACTACTGGAAATAAAACAGAACCTTAAAAACATGGTTGTAGGAGATTTGTGGGATATGAATGATTCTTTTAACTTTGAAAGTTGAATGTGATTCAGTTTGTCTGTTCATACAGTCGATACAAACCGAGTGAAGACGGTGCATTAACAGCTCAGAGCAGTTAGCAGTACTTTGAGTATTGGTAGTCCATAGTTACCACAGCGAGGAGGACACTCCTGCGTCATGATGTCACTTTGGCAACGCAGTCGGCAGTTTCTGTGTGACGGTCCAATGTCCAACGTTAGTGAAGGTCACTTTAGGTCACTGCTTTAATTCATTCATAACTTTGCACTAAAATCTGAGGATTTACTTTCAAAAGATTGTCCATTACTACTGTACATGATTTCAGTGTCAGAATTGTAGATTTTTTTGTGTAAAAAACTACTATACTACAGTTCACAGTTCTTAGACTCTCAGGTTCAGTAGCTGTGCCTAAGGAACCACGTCATTGTATTTAGTTGTTTAAGCTAACTAAGAGCCATGACACTGTGTAAACACTGACAGACGGGAACTTTTTTAGTCCCAAATAACAATGTTACAGACGTTAATCATTTCTAATGGTCCAATTCCATACTTTAGTCACTGTCAAGTGTTAACATTATCATCATTACTGTCATATATACTATCATTAGTAATTGTAGTGTTAGTGTCACTTATATATTTGTACAGTCAGCCTTTACCGCTCTCTACCATCAGGGGGCAGGACAGTCATTCAGAGAGGCTGATTGTGGTGCTCACAGTGATCTTCTACTGATCAGGTTCTCCTCTCTGTGATCATCTACAGAACTTCTCCAGCGCGGCGGAGGTGGACCAGCTCATGAGCTCACTGGATGACAACAACGACGGCGAGCTCACCTTCTCCGAGTTCTGGAAGCTGCTCGGGAAACTGGCCAGCAAACAGGGCGGCTTCAGTCAGTAGGGCGGGGATTGTCCAACGGCAATCAGCTCGGATGTCGAAGCTGTCCAACTGCAGTCTCCAGAGACTTTGAATTCCTTTATCGCTGCACATCAGTGTGAGCCTCATGTGTGTGTCTGTTTAGGAAAGCATTCTCCGAATGCAGGGAATGTCAAATTAAAGGCTTCATTGTCCGACTGAAAGCCAAGCCACCATTACTGTGTCTCCTGTCGTCCTTTCACCGCAGTGTATGACACGTCTGTCCACACACTCACGTCTGTGTTACAGCCTGTAATCCCACAGAGCTGGATTATCCCTGTACATCCATGCCGCTCCATACGTTCATCCACCGTCTGGTTGTTACTGACCGTCAGATGTCCACGCACCTTATGTTTAACCCCTCCTATTTCAAATGTGTTCCCTTGATACAGAAGGGAGTTTTTATTTTGTGGGAGGAGCAGGCGGTGTTTCTGAACATACTCAAATATATTCACTGTATTACAAAGTATTACAAACAAATACATCATGGTCTTGGTGGTCTACGTCCGCGCTTTAGATCCGACGTCCGTGTACAACTTGAACGCATCATCAGTTGTAGTTCACAAACGTGTCACAAACGCTGTATTACAGGTGATGTCTGTCACCCTATGTTATTACTATTCTATTCATATTGCTATGAATTTGAGGGGGCCATGCCCCCCCCCCCTGGTTTTCACAAACAAAAAGGAAAAGTATTGAACAGAGAAATAGATTTTGTGATTTTGTGTCTGTGTCTTCAGTTCAGCGTTAGTTTAATCCTCTTTTTGTGTTACGTACTTATGTCCAGACCCTGTGGTTTGTGTCAAAGTCGGAGTGGACTGGCAGGGGTCCCAGCTCTGGGGCTGACAGAGAGAGAGAGAGAGAGCCACTCTGTGATTTTGATCACGTGGATCTTTCAAGTGACCTTTGTATCCAAGTCAACCTGACTGAGGTGCCGCGGCGGGAGGTTTGATAACGGCCGAGTGAGTCAGCAGCAACAATGTGAGCAGCGACAGGGAAAGGCCCTTCCACTGCTGCCAGGTGACGGTTCTCACACTCTGGAGCCTGCTCTCCCACTCAGTTCTCCCAGAGAGAAGAAGAAGAAGAAGAAGAAACCCCGTCCAGATCTAATCTCCACCAGCCCAGAGAGTTCTGAAGCCCATCAAAGGCTGCGTCGTGACTCCCACCACCAACCAGACACACTGGTTTCCACTGGGGTCAAATCTACTTTGAATTTACTCTTTGCCATTGTAGCTTTCTGTATCTGTGATCTAGTTTACTGAGTTTTGGAACAGGTCAGTTTACTGGGCTCGTCTTCAGCTCTTTCTCGGTGAGATGTTGAATTCTATCTGACTCCATAATCAATTCAATCCTTCTCTCCTTTTATTGTTATTTATTTAGAACATGGTAAATGTTGATTTTCTGGAACTGTTTCTCAGTTAGCTCCAAGCTCAGTTTTACTCTCGGCCTTGCTAACTTTTAGCAGCGTTTGGTTTTGCTTTCAGTTTCCTGACTATTTGGTTTCGTGCGACCACATTTGCATCGAGAGCTTGATGTTTTTGGTTAACAAAAATCGGTTTCATCAACATTACCTGCTTCTCCTGTGTGAATTTGCATGCCACTTAATTATAGTGTGTACGAAGCAGAGGAGCAGCAGTTGGGCCCCAGGTGTTTTTTACATTACATGATGGAATTTGCCCCCTCAACCCCCCTCCAAACCCCCCACCCCTTCTTGAAAAGAATTTCGACACCACTGCTTTCACTCAGCTGCTGCCCCTTTCTTTCACTTTAAACAGAGTGAATACTTTTAGTTTAGTTTTGGATTCGTATTTGTGAGTGTGCACGTTTAATTAGCTGCTGATATAAATGAGGGATTAATGCAGATGAAGTAATCCCACCCAGCCCTGTCATATCATGACGCCTCTCCAAAGCCAGAAGCCTGGAACTGTTGAACTGTGCACATCAGACATGACGTGAAACAGCTGCATCGTGTGGCCAATGGTAATTCAAATATGTATAAAAAAAAAGAAAAAAAAAAGAAAAAAAAGCATTAAGTTTGTCGATGCTTTGTTCAACATTTTTGTCCTTCTGTCCTCGGATCCACGGCCGCGCTCCTCCACATTCCCACTTCTCCCTCTCACTCTCCCAGGTACACGCCCTTTGACTTGTCAGGGGGGAAAAGTTTTAAGGAAAGAAAAAAACAAAATCACGGAAGAGATTCTGCAGTCCTACTAGTTTGGCAAGTTCTCTAGGCGCAAAGCAGCGTAGAAAGGCGGAGAAGAGGACAGAAACTCCGATTTGACTTCATTTTCCACACTGCTCTTGTCCTGCAGACGGTCCACGGTGAGTCCACGGCGTCTTTCTCAGTTCTTCCACAGTTCCTCTCGGAGGCAGCGCTGGTTTTTGCCACGTTTCGGTCGGCTTTACCCCCGCAGCAGCCGTCCCTGCCTGAACTGGGACGGTGTCGGTGTCACCTCAGCTCTGTGGGAACTTTTTGGCTCAGGTTGCGCCAAAACCTCACCCAGATGGAGTTTGACACTTGGTGTTTTTATTGTGTTCACACTTTATTCAGTATTTTTGCCGTCTTTTACTTCCATCTGTCTCCCTGTCCTCTCTGTCTCTCCCCCTCTCTACCGTCCCCTCTCTCGGTGTCTCGCCCTTTCTCTCTTTGGGAAATGTGATATGTTTTAAAGCTCACCCGACTTAGTTTTGCTGATTTACAACTCTTCAGGTCTTTGTGGTAAAATGCTGTGCTCGTTCATGATCTTCCTGCTGTGCGTCCGGGTCGCGCGTAAAAGCCAAACATTTTTTGCGCTGAAATGGTCATTTTTGCGCACAGTCTGCTTTTGATTAAAGGAGGGGAGGGGGGGGCACCAGAGTGACAGCTGGGCTGGCTGCGTGGATTTTTGCGTGTTTGTCTGACCAGTGTGACCCTCGGTGTGAGGCCTTTTCAATATTTAAAGTCGCGGGTGTGAATCCTCCTCGGCAAACCTGACGCCCGTCGTTTGACGCGTCTTTACGCTCGTCTGACATTATTTCTGAAACCCCGACCTGTTGCCCACTGCAGTCTACAGCCACGCGGCCCAACTTGTTCCTCTGTTAATATTTCATGACACATGGGCGGTAGTATTGCCGGGACTCTACGCACGTACCGTATCACGTTCGCCCAGGTGGAAACGGAACACTCCAGTTGTCCTCGGGCCGTGGAGGGGAAATGGGAGACCTCTGGTTGTAACCCTGTATATTTAATTGTTTAGGCATTTTTTTCTGTCCCTTTAGAATATATAACAGGGATTAGTTGGTGTCCAGAGTGGGTCGAGATCGGGTAATGACGTGAGGTGCAAGTTGGGGGGCGTGGGTGGTTTAGGGCACACGTTTGATGTCCACAGGACATGACCTTTAAAGATGATCTGTCCTTTGAATAGTGGAGCAGCACCTTTAAAGATGATCTGTCCTTTGAATTTAAATGTGGAAATGGTCGTTAATGAGGAATGTATGTCTTGGACGTGGGGTGTTGTTGGTTATTACCCAGAGTGCCGTGTGGAGGCGCCTGGCTGCTTGTACAGAGGGTGTGTCACTGCTGCAGGAAGATGGGCAGAAGTTCCTACAAAATATGGGCTGTGTCTCTGCAACAACAAACGGTGACCGTTGTTCCCATCACACAGAGGGCTGTTCACTCAGTGCTGATCATCAGATCCCACTGCACTGTTCACTCAGTGCTGATCATCAGATCCACAACAACGAGCTGAGCTGGACTCTCTGTTCGAGCAAACGGCGACAGGTTAGCATGGTGTCAGCGCGAGGTCAGACAGTTAGAGTTCACGCGGTCACCTCGGGAAATTTTGAAAGGGGGTCGAGTGAAACTTTAGATGGTGATGTGCCACGCCCAGGCTGTAATGAGACTAACAGGCCTCGCTCCTACCATGTTTGTGGTGATTACGCAGCTCAGGTGTGACGTCCACTTCAGCAACAGGAGATAATAATGGGCTGTTTACAAAAGGCCACTCAGCTGATGAGGACCATCAGAGGTCCAGGCTGAGACCAGGAGTCAGCAAAACAAACTGAGGCTGCCAGGCCGGAACAGTCCCTGCTGCTGCTAGTTAGCCGGGGAATTCTTGTCTAAGTGATCTGTGCAGGCAGCAAACATGTTAAAGTTGACCTGCACACCTGTCCAGACGGTGTGCAGTGTCATATTTTCATGTTGGTCCAGACACACGTTTGGCAGACACGTCACCGTCAAAATTAGATTCAACCATCGATGAACCATCGATGCTTCTCATTGGCTCGTGAAAAGCCACTGATGTGTCTGTGAAGGCCCTCCGTCCACGACACAGAGCTGTGAGTGTGTTTGTGCACAGCAGTGTGAAGGGAGCATCGTGAAGAGAGGGACGGAGGGTGGAGGGGAGCTGAGGCTGAGGAGACAGAAAGAACAGACTAGGTAATCCCTTCAGTAATCTGAAGCCCGGTTCCCTCCAGTTGCCTCAGTAGATCAGGTGACCTATCAAAGATCAGAGCCTCCATTGTCTCTCGCCCAGACTCTCTCTCTCAGCAGCTCCATTTATATCACGTCAGCATCCCCTCCTTATTTAACACCTGAAATGAGACAGGTCCTGGTGAGGACACAAGAAGATCCACCGTGTGCTTTTCCACTGGATGCGGTCATTACCTCTTTGTGTGTCCATCCATCCATCCATCCATCCATCCATCCATCCATCCATCTAATCTAGTTTGGGTCATAATTTCACGCCTAGTGAGTTATGTCACAACAAATCTAAAACAGTGTTTGGAAAAGAACAAGGACGAGTTGTAAACAAACGTGTTTTTATTTCCTCACTTCTGAACTTTTAAGCATTTTTTTTAAAGTGCAGTTTCTTAGATGTATTAAAAAAACGACCCAATATTGTTTCAAAAACGTCACAGTTCTGCATGACGGGTTAGAACGTCTCGCCAACAGTAACAGAAGTTCCCCTGAATGTACTTATGTTTTTGAAATGATTCTTTCATCAAAGTTAAACTTCTGACAGAAACCTGTGTAACACATGTTAAAGTGTGTTGTGTTTGTGTGTGACCTACAACCTGCTCCAAACCAAATATGTGTTTTGGAGGTGAGGGACAGATGCAACGGAACAAGGACAACTTTTGAAAAGCACAGGTGTCACCACTGCTGCAAGAGTGAAAACAAAGGACACCAGAACAAAAAAAAAGGCTCTTTGGTAGCTCTTCACAATACGGCCTCTTTGAAGCCAAGAGTGCACGTTGGAGGGGGGGGCGGTGTAGCAGTTATGACAGTTATAAAATACATAAAGACGACGACAGGCCTGGAAAACCAGTGAAACCACCGTTGTGGTGCACATAGAACTGTGCTGTACCATCAGTCTCTGTTTACTGCATCTGTCTGCCTAGATAGATAGCTAACTGGTGCGCTAATTAGCATGCTAGTTGGCTATTGTCAATTTTGGTTGTATCTATCTATCAATATGTATTGGTCAGTAATTGCCTTCATGGCCTCTCGACTCCTTTTCCCCAGAAAGAAGAGTCATGGAGGCTGCTATTCAGACCCTGGTGAAGGTCTTCTTAAGGTCGAGCAAAGGAAAGGAGAGTCTTGGAAGGAAAGAATTCCAGACCCTAGTCAAGACCCAGCTCGGCAACATTCTGACGGTGAGGACATTTTCAATGAAACCTTTTTTTAAATCTTACCAACACGTACAGTAGGTTATGTAACCACGTGACGGAACTGAAAGGCGCCGTTTCAACCTGAGCCGTGAACTGTGCAGCAGGTGAAAGGGGAAAGTAACTCGAGACAGAAGTGAACTCATCAGCATCAGAATGTCACGGATAGAAGGCCATGTTTCAGTTATATTCCTCCAAAATGAAAATCAATTGAACCGGGCTGTTAATAAACCATGGCAAAAATCAATACTGACTTTTGCTTCAACCTCATTATAAAACATCAACCATTCAATGTCACACCTCACTTTTATGAGGCTGAAATTCAAGGAAGATCTTTTGTTAACTGGCTTTTTTTTTTTTTTACAAATTTACACACAACTATCCAGACAGGAAGTAGCACAAAAAACAGATGCTGCAGATTGGCTACAAGAAACTAAGAAACTAAGAAAAGAGTCACAGAAATGTTGCATGCTAACACATGGTTAAATGGCCAAACATTAGCCATAACGTAGCTTGACTTTATTTTAAAAAAAAATCACAGCCACTTACAACTGTGTGTGTGTGTGTGTGTGTGTGTGTCTACCACACAGGGCGCAGACAGCAATGAAGCAGTCAACAACATGGGTAAAGGACTGGACGCAGACCAGGATGGTAAAGTGGGCTTTAAGGAGTACATGAAGCTGGTTGGCTACCTGGCCGTGTCGCTCAGTGAGCAGCGTGTCCTGGCTGCTCAGCAGGCAGAGCCCCCCCAAAACGCTACTTCAGAACAAGTGGCCCTGAGTGCACCTGCCGTCGAGGCGGAGACACCGGAGGCTAAGGCAGAGGTGAAGGCTGACGCAACACCAGAGGTGACGGAGGAGGCCAAGGCAGAAGCTGCAGCCGAGGTGAAGGTGGAGGCTAATGCAGATGCTAAGGTAGACGCCAAGGCAGAAGTGAAGGAGGAGGGGGAGACGCAGCCCGAGGAGGTGAAGGAGGAGGTGATGGCAGCAGCGGCAGAAGTCGCAGCCGTCGCGATGGAGGCGGCGACGGTGGAGGTGGTGACGAAAGAGGAGGTGAAGGTGGAGGAAACAGAAAAGGTGGAGGATGCTGTTGAGACGGTGGCTGCGGCCGTAGAAGAGGCGGTGGAGAAGAAGGCGGAGGAGGCCACCTCATAGTGGACGATCCTTTCGATGCCAAAACAACACACTACACACGTCAAACACGAGCAACAGCAGCAGTCAGATTCTAGGCCAAACACACACACACACACACACACTTTAAAATAGAACACAACGGTGAAACAAACATGAATTCAAACCCAAGTTTAAAGAAGCCAACTCCTCACCTTTGATGATGATGATTTTGTAGTCCTAGTTACCACTATGTTGATATGTACAGCATGAGCAGCCCACTATCAGGCACATTTACCTCGTCATGATCATATGCTATGATTGCATGCTGACGTGCATGACCCCCGTGCATGCCAGACCCCTGTGACATCATCGCTGACATCACCTGCACCTGAGACCAAAGTGTCGCTGCATGCTGATCCCACACCACTGCAGACAAGAGGTCGACTCCAGATCACGTCCACTTCCTGTCCTAATCTGGGTCGTCTTTTTATCTCCAGTTGTGTCGTAACGTTGCTGTTCAGTCCTGCAGGTGTAACGTCACTTGTATAAATCTTACCAGGTACTAATGGCTTCAAGAGTAGTTTGACATTCTGGGAATTCAAATTGATTTGCTTTCTGGGCAGGATACAGGCTGCAGAAAACACTGCTCCAGCGCCACCTTTGGTTGCAGCAATTTCAGCAAGGTATATCGTAACAGAGCTTAGGGCTGCTGCGTTCAGTCGCTATGCTATGCTATGCTAAGCTAACTAGCCCCTAAATACTGACCTTTTTTTCTTAACACTTGCCAGAAAGCAAAGCTGATGTGAACCTGAGAATGTTCAACTATTCTCATCACGGTTGCTAGTCCTGTCAATAACACTAAACTTTTTTTACACATTCTTACCTTTTAACTCACAGTGCTGTGGAGCTGATTTGGCATGACAATAAACATATTGTTTTGCTGGAGCTTTGCATTCAGCTCTCTGTGTATTCACTGCCCCGTCACCTGGTCTGGCCTCTGTTCTTCTTCTTCTTCATGGCTCAGTCCTTATTTTCTCCGCTCTTTCTCTCCTGTTCCCACTGTGATCTGCCTGGTCTGATCCACGTATGTTCTCACCTTTATTCAGCCATGCATCAGGAAGTCAAAGATCAGGCGTGGCCCTCGGCTAAATAATTAAGGCTCCAAGATGGAACCCACACCACGGTGACCCTTACTTTTTTAAAAGGGTGCCCAAAATAGACCCATGGGAGTGATCTGGTCACTGGAGGAGCAAGTGGGAGAAGGTGTCCGTGCAACCTAATCCACCTTAATTGGAATAAAACACCAAGAGGTAAAGAATCCCAGAGCAGATGTCACCGAGCGGCACTTTGTTTTTGTCATCTAAATTACTCCAGGATAGACTTAGTGCAAATGTTATGATTGTGTCGTTCATAATCTCCTGAGTGAGCTGGGACTGTAGAGGTGGCTGATCAGGGCCCGGCGGTAGCAGCAGAGTGGTTTTAGTCGGTCACACCCTGACACCGTGTCCAGACCCTGTTTGACGTGCAACCAGATCCTGATTCTGAGGCGTTGGGAAACTGCTGGATTAGGCTTTTCATGAGTAACACACCCTGGGACGCAAGCAATTACAGGAGAAGTACTCCTGGCCTGCACCGGTCCTGCCGTCAGACCAGCCGGCAGCGTCTTTATTTGTTATTACAATACTGAGCCATCAACATGATGAGATGTGGTGTTATCTTGTTTGTTTTACGACTAATAATTAAAAATGTTGCATGCTGTCAGAGAATATCACTAATGTATTACCACTACCTTAGCCATTATTTAATGTTTTTTTTTTAATATCTGTAACCTTGGAGACCACTATGGAGATCCCTTGAAACAGAGTTCTGGTGCAGTTTGTTAATTACCATTTAATGATTTGTAAATTGTCTCCTCATCAATAATACAACCATGAGAAACAAACAGGCGGCTCGTGTTGCACGGCTGTATCCTACTGTAGGTCTGCCTGGATGATTGCGTAGACAAAGTAAGGGCACGTTTCTGGCCCGGTACCAGCGGTGCACCTGTGCACGGTAACAGTACCAGGTACTTCAAACTGGACAAAAAACAGGTCAAAACAAACAGACGGAGTCATGTGGTAACCCTGTCTGACTGTGACACTCCCATTGTAAATAACACAGTTGTTCTCAGCCTTCAAAATCACACTCTGATCTACTAACACTCTTATTAAAGACAGTTTTACTATTAAATCCTTTATTAAATCTTATATAAATTTTATATATACAAAGAAATGGTACTTCCTGTGATTTATGGAAACATATGACTCTTGCTCCATCTGCAGCCTGCTTCATGTTCACTGCATGTTTTATGAGCTGTACATAGCCTCCTCTCAGACTTCTCTTACAGTTCTTTCCTCTCCGTCCACATGTTTAAACACTGTGGTTTTGTTAATTTTTGTTTTTTTTAATCTTTTTCTTCCTTTCAGATTCCATTTTTGAAATGTGATCTTTGTGTTCCTTCTTTGCTCTCAATCACCATAAGCCAAACTCTGGTGAGAAGAAACTGGATCAACAGGCGACCTTCACTTGACTAATGTGTTGGAATGACCTGACTTGCACTAGCCTCGGGCTCAAACATCATCTGGAATTGTTTTATCTCACTCCGTGTTTTCTTCTAAATCCTCTCGGAGCAGCAGATGGACGGAGCGAGCCGTGAGCGCCAGGCTCTCTCTTTCAGACTGAGAGGTCCCGCTGTCCGTGTTGGCAGTTTTTCTTCTTTTTGTTTCTGTCCCATAGTGTTAGAAAACCCCACCCTGCCTCGAATCCATGTAGATTAAAAACAGGCCGTAACCAAACACAGCAGATTTGCAGCAGGGAGTGTTTGTAGCCAGATTTTTCACCACGGCACAATAAGTCTGATTCAACTGCCGAGCATGAAAGACATGAGAAGAACAAGTGAACACAGCACGGCTGTGTTTGGCTGTGTTTGGCTGTGTTTGGCTGCAGAGGCGGCCGTTGGTGATCTGTGATTGTGGAACCATTTCCAGGATACTGTGCAGGTTTTCCTCCTTGTATGTTGACGATGTGCTCTGTTTGTTTCCTGCCAAGTACTAGAGGGCGTGTGTGTTCAGCAGTTGGACTCATCTCCATCTCCATTCATTTATTAAACTGCTCTATGCAAGTATTTCACCTTCATATGTAATGCTGTATCATTTGTGCTTATTCTAAAGTGTAATGGCTAATATTGAATTAAACTGTGACAATCATATAATTCCACTGGAGGCTTGATCATTTGTAAGGGTGTGTTACCTCAGCCGGGGGGCACAGGTCGTGTGCACAGCGTTTGTGGACACAAGCAGCAGCAGCAGCAGCAGCA